CCCGGAGCGAGCCGTGGCGTCGGGATGCGCGTTCAGGTACAGGCACGGGACCCATGGGGCGGCCACCCCCCTCTTTGGGATTTTGCTTACAAAGGCGGTTTCCAAGCTCGAGCTAAAGCGGGATGAAGCTTCGCAAAAGGATGACCTGAGGCTGAGGAAGGCAGCACAGAGCCGACCTCGCTAGCGCCCCGGGGCTCCTTCCTTGGGCGGGAAAGCAGACCGCGACCGTCTGGGATTACAGCCTGACCCCTTCATCTGTCCCAAAGAGACACCGGGATTTCCACACCGACACCTCCAACGCATCGAGTAAGACGGATGTCACACGAAGCGCGAGATGTGCCAAGCTGGATCCCCTCACCCTGCTGCTCTCACAGGGGGAGCCTCCTGCAAGTCCCTACAACACCCCACGCCAGGGACGGGTGACAACTCAGAGGTGCACACGTACACACAAAACTCCTAAGCTAAGTCTTCATTAATATTCCAGGAGACGCTTCAGGCTAGAAAACGGAGTCTACGTTATTCTGAGGTTGTCGGCTTTTAAATCAAGGTTGCTCACAGGAAGGAAACCACACCAAGGAAGATGTCGGCAGCTGGGCGATGCACCGCCGGTAAATACGTGCCCCTGCACCACCGCTGCCCCACGAGAAACCGCCGAGCGCCCAGGGAGGGCTGAGCTCCGGAAAAACCCTCCGTCAGCACTGCCAGCGTCCTTCTCATTGCACCAAGTCGGAGGCACCAGCGTGCAAAATTTCAGGAACAAAGTAGACTGACATGACCCCGGGGCGCTACACAGAAAGCTGTCAGACAAGAACACATGCTGAGCGGGTGTCTTGCGAGTGCTCAGCTCTGCAGAGCGCCGAAGCCACCAGCCAACACTGAAGCTGCTGCCGTAGGAAGTGGCACCGCGACAGCAGGGATATTCAGGGAAAACGGAAATTACACTTCAACCGAACGCTCCTGAGTTTCGGCAGCTTCCTACAATGGAGGATGACAAGGCCTCGCTCTGAATCAGAACTTCATCCACCTACCTGAGAATCTGTTTTCAGGGGGTAAAATCCTGTCTCCTTTGGACTTGAACACGGGGTTACCTCAAAGACCGATGCTCATGCTCGCAGCAGCCTCATCTACAGACCAAACCTGCTGCAAACGGCTACGTCGCCCAGCAGGATGGCTTTTATACAAAGCACTGGTGTCTCATAACCCCCACGCAACAATCCAGTTTTAAATATTTCAAAAGCTATTTTTCAATAGCAAAGGCAAAGCTCTGAGATAAAGCACGCTGGAGGACAAACCCCGAAAAACAGATGGGACGGAAGAGAGCCAGGCAAAAATCCCCAGACCGCCTCTTATGCTGGCCCCCATTCTCACTTTCAAATGTCGTTTAAGAGCAAAGACAGGAGCACGACTGACCGACCGACCGGCGCCGCTGGCACCTGTATCACTGCAGTGAAATTCAAGCATTGGTCCAAACAGCAGACTCGAACTGAGTCGCTACGCAGCCCCGCCAGATCTGATCCATAAAACCTTAAAAGCATCCGCCTCGCACACCTCACACCAGTGAGAGTAACGACCGAGGGGACGCCTGGTCCTGCCCACGAGGACACCTCGGTGCCGAGAGTGAGCTTTTGGGAACGGAGAAGTGACTCTGCCCAACGTGCCGGGCTCCAAGCGGCACCGCAGGACGGCAACCAGAGCCTGGCGGGGTGTGTAGGAACTAAAACCCGCTCGTTTCACAGAGATCAAAGCGAAGCGTTTTGCTGCCGCCTGACAAGTCACGAGTCGCTTTCTCACTGCCCAAATCCTTTCACCAATTCTGCGCCCTTCCACACCAACAAGACCTTTCAGCGGGGAAAACCCCCTCAGGGCTCAAAACAGGAGAAGGGGAGGCGAAACGCAGATCCTTTCCGAGCCGAGGTTTGGCTGCCAAGTGGAGACACACCACGTGTGTCTCCTGGCAATGAGGTACCTCCGTTAGCCACCGCGCCGAGCCTGCCCTTTTCTCCTAGGCATGCCGAGTGCATCGCGCCTTACCTGCTGCAAAAGGCATTTTGTAGGGGTAGCTGTTCCGTCCCGCGTGCA